TACCTCCCTCGATCGAACTTGTGATTGACATAATTGTAGAATTCTCGAATAACATCTTGGCCCTTCCTACTCTCTCAATGAAACAACCTTGCATTGATGCGTCCTCGGTTACTATCTCATCCTCGTCCCATCTCACTATAATAGTACCTACCGAAAATCTATTGTTCTTTTTTGTAACCTCCGGGAGGTCCGATCGTCGGTGATCCTTTCACTCTACTTCGTTTCCCCCCAGTACCCCGTCGTTTAGACTTGACCTCGATGTTCCGCGTCGCGACAACCTTATTCTCTGAGGGTCTGGATGGTGGCGCCTCAGTTACGAGAAAAAACTATTGCATCTGATTAAAGGGTCCTGCTGCAAGCCAAGATCATCAGCTTCTCTTTGTCCCCGTGGGCATCTCCGGTGGTAATCATCATCAAGAAGAACGGAGTGGATATACGTCTGTGCATTGATTACCGGTTAGTCAACGGTCTGACTCGATTGATGGTGTATCCGATGCCTCTAATCAATGAGCTGTTGGAAGATTTGGATGAAGTACTCTGGTACTGCTCTCTTGACATGGCCAGCGGTTTTTGGGTAGTTACTATGACGGATCGAGCTCGCGCGATATCCGCATTCATCACACCGTTTGGACTGTTCGAGTGGAACCGGATGCCGTTTGGATTGAAGAACGCACCACAGATCTACCAACGTCTAATCGACAACGCCCTTTATGGATTCACCCCAATACCGGAACCCAAAAGGGGTGGATCCGGGGAAGATCATACGGAAGTAGATCCATTTGAGGCAGGAGAGCCAGGGGATTCTGGAGCCCCGTCCGTGTTAGGACGCAGATCTTACATCGACGACATTCTAATCCCGGCGAAATCGGGGGATCAGTTGTGCGAAAGAGTGACATCCCTACTGGAGGCGTGTCCTAAGTGGAATCTCTCTATCAGTGTGGTAAATAGCTATTGGGGGATGCGCAAGGTGGATTACTTAGGCCATCGAGTTTCCAAGGAGGGATTGGAGGCGAATCCTAAGGACCTGTCTTCGTTAGCCGATTTGTCCTTCCCGCAGTCGCTACGGGCGATGCAATCCTTCTTGGGCAGTTTGAACTACTACAGTCGGTTCATTGAGGATTACGCCCTGTTTGCCACGGTATTGTATGAATTGAGAGAGGTAGATTTTGCTGCGATGACCACTCCAGCTATCCGGATAAAAATCCAACAAGCTCTGGCCCGGGAGATGTCGGATCCACGAAGGAATTCAAGTGGTACGACGCCAGAAGAGGACCTAAAACAGGAGCTGGGTCCACCCCGGGACCAACGGAGAGAGGATCCAGTCTGGATAGAGACGACGGATCAGAACATGGAAAAGGCAGAATCTCGGTGGATCCGAGCTCAACACGCATTCGTGGAACTGAGGAACAGGATCGCGACCACGCCTATCCTCCGTCATTTCGATCTGGAATGTCAACGTACGGTGATAGTTTATGCCAGTGACTGGGCAGTCTCAGCAGCTCTGGTACAAGAACATGAGGGGATCTGTCATCCAGTCACCTTCGTCAGCCGGACACTGAAGCCGAATGAATTGAACTACGGAGCGGTGGAGAAAGAGATGCTCGCGCTCCTGCGCGTGTTGGATCTGAATTACAACCTGCTAGTGGGAAGATCCATCCGGATCCTGACTCGACACTCTACACTAGTCTGGCTGTTCAAGTCGGCCGGGTAACAAGGACTTTTGGGACAGTGGGCAGCTTTACTCTCGCCTTGGACACTGGAGATTGTGAAATGTTCGAAAGGGGAAGACGAGATCCTGGGAGTCTTGGCCGCGAGCATCACTCCTCGAGCTAAGATGGATGAGGCGCTGACTAGGGTCGCTCCTAAGAAAGAGCCCAAACGCCGGATCCAGATCCCGATCCCGACGGTACAGGTGGATGAGGATCTGTTCGTCCTGAGTGTCGATAGATCCGCTCGCATACGACGCGGAGTCGGGGCGTACAGTGCAATACTGTGGAGACTACCTGGATGGGAAGTTGTACGGGCCAGATCCACTTATGCGGAAGGCCTCACCGTCAATAAAGCGGAGTACAACGGACTCCTTCTGGGTTTGGATTTGCTAAAGGGACAAGATCCAAAACGGCTGGTGATTTGTGGGGATTCAAATTTGGTAATCAGACAGGTGCGAGGTGAGATTGACTGCAAGGCCCCGGCCCTAACACTGTTACGGCAGAAAGTGATGATCCACCTGCGTGGTTGGTTGAATCACGAGTTGGTGCATGTCAAGCGAGATTGGAATGCCAGTGCGGATAAATGGACCCAAAGGCGGTATTTGGTATTTCCATTAAATTTAATAAGGGAATAATAAAAGAATTGACATTTATTTTGTGATTATAGATTAATTGGTAAATCATTTTCCTTCCAAGTAAATATTGTGGGTTCGAGTCCCA